GGTTACCTAGGTTCTTACCTTAGCAGGCTTAGGTCCTCCGTTCACTCTGTTAAACCTCCAAGGGAATTAATTACCTGATACACTGGTCCAACCGAAGACGCGTTGAGCTGTCGCGCTTGTCGACCACCAACTACGATCAACGACAGAGCACAAGTCTGATCCTCGATCTGGCCTCCGCATTCTCACTGTTGGCATTCCTCCCATACATGACTTGCATAACCGATTGAGATGACACCTTCTAGCGCGAGGGTCAGGTCGCGCGATTCTGACTGGTGGTGATTTACAGTGGCTTTCTCATAATCCCTGTTCACCTAGTCGTGGGGTTCGCATGAGGACAGGAACCCAACTACATGTCTACTTCCTCGTCAGTGTTGACGCGAAATCCGGCCACGATGATGGCGACCAAGAGAAAGTCCCTGGCACTTGAGAGGCCAGAGGATGAGCAATCCGAGGGCAAAAAATCAAAGTTGATCCAGATAAAAGGTCAGGTCAGGCATACGCTTCTACAACAGCACTATGATGTCGTGCAGACACTTCGCGGGTACCTGCTTTCTAAACTGCCAGGGTCTTCGAGACTTCGCCGCAAGAAGATTGCAGCGTTGGGAAAAGACCAGGCACGGTGGGCACGCATTCAAGACCACGACATTGGACCAGAGCTTTCTTCGTTGTTAGACACAACCTTGGTCTGCACGCAACACCGCCCTAAGGCACAAGCTGACTCTCGGTGGGAGCAATGGCGGTCCTTCTCTCAGAAAGCCGACGACTCGGTTGTGTCTCTCTCGGGAGGTTTGGCCCAAGCTACTTCCTCGCAGTCAGAGGTAGGCCACTGCTACGCGACCAATATGTCTCTAAGGCTGACCGTCAAACACAGATCGTTGACTTTGTGGTGTGGCAAATATTCAACAGACACGCTGCTTGGCCGAAGCACCTCCTCTGCGATGGGTTCAGGAGGCAGGCTCAGAACATTGCCAACGCAAAAGGCCACGGTCGCGATAGCGGAATTCAGGGGCTGATCGCAGTTGACCCGAATCACTACGTGCAGGCCCTAAAAGAAGCCCCTTGGCCACAAGTACTTATGCTGCTCGGGAAATCAGGCGAGCAGATCATGATAGATCTCCTCATTGATACGGCGATATTTCTCCCAGTGAGAGCTGGCCACGGCAATATGTACCAGCTCAGTGGTATCCCCATGTCAGAGACGGGCATAGCCGCGAAGCAGGACAGCAAGAAGCAGACAAAAGGAGATGCCACAACGCCGCCACCCATACCTCAGGAGCGGCTCCCGTCTGAAATCAACCTTATCAGAAATCGCATGCTCTACGCTCGAGCTGCTCTCACCGCTAAGGGCACGGTTCAGTATGGACTGCGGCACATACGTAAGTTGACATTCGAACCAAAGACAAAGAGGGACTTCCTCTGACTCCGATCGACAGATGTTCTAAGTCGTTGTCCACGTCTATCGTATCCAGAACAGGCAACCGAAGAAGAGAGATCAAGAACCACACAGGCGAACGAGCGCAACACGCTGAAAGTCATGATGTATATCTTCCCTCGACAATTTGGCCTACACAACGCCTTCACCTCCAAAGTTGACCACTCCAAGACGTCGCAAAAGTTTGCAGACTATACTCTCCGCGAAGACGAAATCTCGTCAACGTTCAAGGGACGCGATATCAAGCTTTCAAAGAGGCTGCGCGGAGACACAAAACGACTGGTGCAGAGGCTACAACTTCTCCACGGTCGGTGTGCTTACGCTGAGATACTGCGGCATTACTGTCCTTCTGCTGTTGACTTCAAATCCCGGAAATCTGTCTCAAAAAAGCCGGTGAAGCAGTCCAAGACACTTGATCCTGCACCGGTGGCGGGAAGAGACAACCATACAGCTGTTACATCTGGTGCCCCCAGAAATAGCACACATAGCCGCTCCAAGCTTCACCAACCCGCGGCGCCTCCGCTACTGCCCACGTTTGATGCGATCACTGACTTGGCAACTCCCGCAGCTCATGTTTCCGCATTCTGTCAGGCTGTACTGGCCAAGATCATACCAGATGAGATGTGGGGCACTGGTGAAGGCGGTACTTACAACAAGAGTCAAATACTGAGGAAAGTCGATCACTTTGTCAAACTGCGGAGGTTCGAGGCCATATCCCTCTGTGAGCTCGCAGACGGGCTCAAGGTAAGCAGTCCTCCGGTTCTAATGGATTCTGTCTAACGCATTCATCAAGATTACCAGTATGGAGTGGCTGGCGCCTCCAGGCATCAAAGCCCAGAAAACCAGCTTGACTGACATGAAGAAACGACATGAGATTATGAATGAATTTTTGTACTACATTTTTGATTCGCTGTTGATACCCCTTTTGCGCAGCAACTTCTACATCACAGAGTCGAGCTCTCACCGCTACCGTCTCTTTTTCTTCCGGCATGACGTTTGGCGATACGTCGCAGAACCAGCAATGGGGAGTCTTCGAACAAACATATTTGAGGAGATCAAGCTTGACCAGGCTACCGCAATACTCGACTCCAGGCGGCTGGGCTTCAGTCGTATCAGGCTTCTGCCCAAAGGAAAGGGTATGCGGCCGATCACGAACCTGCGAAGGCGAACAGAGATCAGGGGCAGGAGCTCTGTTCTCGGCCCAAGCATAAACACTGTACTGGGCCCGGTACATTCCATGCTCAAGCTCGAAACGGTAACCCTCATCATCCAATTTCTGTGTCATTCATCTAGTTACTAACGGCCTTTGCAGCAAAGCAATCCCTCCAGGCTCGGATCATCCATGTTTTCGGTGGGTGATCTCTACCATCGCCTAAATGCCTTCAATGCCAGATTTGGCGACCATCGGCCGGTATTCTATTTTGCCAAGGTAGATGTGCAGTCTGCCTTCGACACCATCCCTCAGGAGGCTGTGATCAGGCTGATGGACAACATTCCGAATGAAGAACAATACATCATCAAGAAGCACGTCGAAGTAAAAGCCGGATTACTGGATTCTCGGCATCAGAAGAATGCTGTATCAACAGTCACGCGGCGGTGGCATTCCATCGCCGTCACCCGCAACGATACCACTGACTTTTCGCAGCTGGTGGAGGGGCGTCTTGGCATAAACCGCAAGAATACCGTCTTCGTGGGAAACACCATGAGAAAGGAGCTAGAAACGGACGCGCTGATGGCTCTGATGGCATCGCATATCAAGCAGAACCTCGTCAAGGTGGGCAAGAAGTTCTACAGGCAGAAGAAGGGTATCCCCCAGGGCTCTGTATTGTCTTCAGCTCTGTGCAACTATTTCTACGCCGACCTCGAGGCGCAGCATCTGTCGTTCCTGTCTGAAGGGGAGGAGCAGGGAGAGGAGAGTGGAGAATGCCTGCTCTTGAGGCTGATCGACGACTTTCTTCTCATCACGACAGACCAGGCCAAGGCACGCAGGTTCGTCCGGGTCATGCATGGCGGACTACCCGAGTACGGCGTCGCTGTCAGCCCCAACAAGACCTTGGTCAACTTTGACATGGACCTTGGTGGTACGAAAGTAGCCAGGCTTCCGGATGGGGCTCAATTCCCTTATTGTGGACTGGGTATCGACTGTGATACCCTTGACATTGTCAAAGATCGAGGTCATATCAAAGATACAGGTAAGCTCTTCGTGTCGCTGTCGTAAGGAGGTAAGAGAAGCAGCGCCACGCAGTAAGCTAACCTTGCCATCAGTGGTTTCCAATGCGTTGACAGTGGACTACGGGAATAAGCCCGGTCAGAATTTCCAAAGAAGAGTCTTGAGTACGTCCCACAACCTTGCTTCCCTATAGCCAACCCTCACTCATTTGAAATTCGATTCAATCCCGCCAGCTAACCTCTACGTCATCTGCCACCAGACGCCTTCAAAATCCAGTCCCACCTTATGTTCTACGACACCAAGCACAACACCCTCAAAACCGTCATGTCCAACCTCCACAAGGCTTTTGCCGAGACGGCCGAGAAGATGTGGGCGTACTGGCGCTGTCTGCCAACCAATAAACGACCTGGTGACGGGCTCGTCATGCGTATGTGTATTCCTTATCCCACTCCAACATACCATACTTGCCTTTTTTCAATCCTGGCCTTTACTTTGACACCCTTTTGACTAACGACACCCATTTCGACTTCTCACAGAGACATTGGCCAAAGTAATCGACGTCGCTTACGGACTGCTCACGAGCAAGTCTCGGAGGGAAAAGTATCCAGAGTATGATTGCGCCGTGGAGAAGACGCAGGTTGCGTGGTATGTATTTCTTCCGCCCCTGACACATTGTTGTGGACATCCCGCCGTCTTACTGAATGGTTCTCTCAAAGGCTCGCTCTCGATGCAGTGAGGATGATTCTCGCAAAGAAACAGGCAAACTTTACGACGGTATTGTCATGGATAGATAAGGAGACTGGGCGTCTTGACGCCAAGAAGACGGCCCGGGCGAGGAAGTATGTACGCGGGTGAACAAACCAGAATAGTATCGTAGTGCAATGCACAAAAGGTCGAGGAGGAGGTTTTGGTGTAGCTTCCTCTGTGTATATTTATTCTGCGAGGCAGAATCCCCCTTGCCAGGTATAACGGGTCGGATGGAACTTGAACTCTCCCGTCTTTGTCTTACTCGTTACTCCTCTCCTGCCCCTCTCCTGTGCCACAGATCATCTATCCATATTGAACACGTCGGTGGCCGTTGTGATGAAATCATAGGAAACTGCCTTCTCGTACAACCCGGAAACCATGTTGCTTGCTAGGCAGTAGTTAGACTCGCAATTTTGGTGCGATGCGAAAAATGCCGTGTGAGGCGAAAGCACCAGATTTATCTCCGAGGTGAAGTAACCTCCACACTGCCTTGCAGATATTTGAAAGCATACAAATCAATTTCCAAGAGTAAAGTTGACGGTTATCGAATCTCACATGGATGGTACCCAGCACTCCAGCCCTCTGTGTTTACTAATTTCAAAAAAAAAAATAAAAAAAATAAGGGAGGGATTCAAAACAGAGCTACGACAAATGATCCTCGGAGAGATCATGAACGACCGAGGAAGATTCTTCCTGGAGAAACTCGCCGCAGCGTCCGAGTACCCAGATTCCCTCCTCTGCCAAGACGAACGACGGGCGACGCTAAAGGCACGCATCGAGCATTATGCCGAGAGGAAACATCAAGTATTTGACGAGGCCCAAGAGAAACGGAAGGATAATCCGTTGATAGTCGTTGACTTTGGCACGGGAAAGTCTCGATCTCCGGTGGCGGGGGGCGATTTCGATGTCGACGAGGTTGCCAACGATAAAAACAGTAGGGAGAAGGCCGACTTACACATCATACGCAACATCGACGACTTACGAAACAAGCTGGCCTGGCCGGATCCGAAGCAAGGCCCGTGGAAGTCTGAATACCTTGAAAAAGATCCTCCGTTACGAGTGATGTGAGTCCGCTCATCGAAAGCAATCAGGCGCAACAGCAAAAAGGGGCACTAATGGCAGCGTAACCAGCCTGCTAGAGCGCATGTGGCCTACCTCGCTGCTACTGAACCTCAGAGAAGACGTGCTGTTGGAGATCCTAACCTACCACCAGATCCCGGCTCACTTCCTGACCTTCGTTACCAGCGGCGGTGACTCCTGGAGCTTCGCCAGTAGCATGAGCTTCGCGGGCTTCAAGGGCTGTACGAAGACGCTCTCGGGCCCTGGTCAAGAACAGCCCACCAGCTTGGCGGTGCTAGGTCGTAGCGGTAGGCACATTCAGGTCTGCCTCACCTTATTCAGCATCCGCGAGTATCCCTCACATGCGCTGCCCCAGGACGCGGACCCCGCGAGAACACCGCGGTGGGAGACGCACTCCGCGGTCGTGTACGTCCATTTTGACATTATCGAGGGCACGGCGGTGTGGTTGCTCGCAAGCCCCCGATCGTATCATCCGGAAAGGGGTCACGGCACGCAGAACCTACTTTGGAACGCTTTGAAACACGACATGGCGAGTGACATGAATGCGCTTCAGTCGCTTGACGTCCCCGAGCGATTCCGCATCAGTGTTGACAGTCTCCTTGCGGCCGCCGAGTGGTCTATCGGGATGTTTTCGCATCACGTCCAGGACACAGAGAAGAGGCTCCATGAGTTGGTGAGTCCGTCTCGCCACATAATGCGAGAGGCGCAGTAGAGCCGGAGCTATGCTAAGATGTCATGCAGACCAAGCCTTACGTCTATCCGTATGACGATGACGAGACGGTGGATGACAAGGCAAGCGCATCAATCCACGCCCAGGACCTTCGTAGAATGGCGTTCTTGATGGAAACTCGGCATGGCAGTGTCATCAAAGTTGAGAATAACCTTCGGGTTCTCCGCCGTCTCCGAGAGTTTTTCGTGGAAAATGTGGCCGGGCATCTCGGCCCTCTCAGAGATTCCCACGCCAATGAGATCCGGACGCACATCAAAGGCTTTGCGGAGAAGTTGACATTGGTAATGGCAGAGATCGAGGACTTGTTGGACAGGGCATCAGCACTGGATAAACTTGCGAGGAACAGAGAAGAATACGTACGCGGCGACTAAGAGTGTCAAATCAAGGGGAGCGAACGCTAAACGGCTTAGATTCAACGGTTGCAAGCGCATCACTCAACTCAGCAAATGAATACAATCGCGGTGCTGACGGCGGATGACTCGTCCGCGATGAAGCAATTGTCTTTCATCGCCCTGATATTGTTACCAGTCACGGTCGTATCGGTAAGCCAAGATATCCCCCGTCGAGCATTGCTGTTGGAAGAAAGGCAGAACACGAATGCGCTGATCGGATGTCGTAACCAATGATATTCTATGCAGACGGTTCTCAGTACGGACATTGTCAAGTTTCAGGACCTTTCGAACGAAAACGAGAATGCCACCCGAGGCACGTCCGAAGGCCCCATTCCGATATACAGTTTTTCGGTGGCGGCCTTTGGCACATGGGCGGTCGCCAGCGTACTCATGACTATCGCGACTTTGGTCATTGTCAAGCCGGCAGGGAACCGTAGGAGGCAAGGCAACAGCAGTATAGACTGTGGGGCGCACGAACCTCCCATGGAGAAAACAAGGAGATCTCGACTGATAACGCGATTGTCTCATGCGTGGAACATTCGAGACAGGTTCGACTCAGCCGTAGACTCTTCGTCCCGCAATGCCAGGCCCAGGCCACCGAGCCCGGCGACTTCGGCACTCGCGACTTCGATACACACGGCCCCGACGGTTGTCAAGATGGCATCAAAGTCGCGAGGAACCCCGGTAGTGGATATAGACGCTCCCGTGTGTGCCGAGTCCTCTCAAACTTGGCCATCGATGGGGTGCTGGCTGGGGGATGCTTGGAACACATTGTGGCGGTCTGCAAAGGATAAGGTGAACATGACGGAGATGGCGACGACACCTCTACCACGATGGGATAGTCGAAGAGACGAGGGACGAGAAGATGGGCAGAAATCGCGGGGAGAGGGTTCATGAGTGCATGGTGTCCTAGCATGTTGGTTTAAGGCACAAGGTTATCCGAAAGGTAATGTAAGGTAGGGTCGCATCGTCTAAGTGCTGGATTCGGAGAAATAGGATCGGGCACGGCAGATTGGCATATGCCAGATCCCCTCGGTCCCTTGCTACCCTCCGAATCTCCAAGGCTGCAAGGTTATCTGACAGGCTCAGCTCCTGTGAGCTGCATCTTTGTTTCTATGTTTCTTTTGTTGAATTGCCACTTTCGATGCGGACTCGGTGTATCCTGTATTGGCATGCTTGCGTTCCATTTGTTAACGGTCGAAGCGGTGGCCGAAGAAAGACGAAGCTCATCATGACCCGATGATAGATAAGAGAAGCAGACGAAGATCAAGCTTAGGCCTAAGATCGTAATGTGGCGGTGCTTCCACGCTCCGTACCCGTGCATGCATTGTCGTTTCTTTGAGAGAGCAGTTTCCCATACCTATACCATGTAGGAGGAGGTAAGGCACCTTCATGACGCTGATGCATAGGAGGTTTTAGCGAATCAGCCCACTATGTACACGCAGCTAGCGGGCGACTGAGTCCACCAGGAATGGCCCCCATGATTCGTCTTCCTTCGGATCCGACAGGGAGCCACCTCGCCTGGCCGATGATTTTCAGGGAAGGCCCCATCACCCGAGGCAGGTGCCGTGCAAAGATGGTAGCGGCCCGGGAAGCCTGCGTGGGGCGGGCCTTCCACACTCTTGCCTCTTCTGACCACACGACTGGCGGTGCAGGTGCAGGGGAAGCAGAGGAAGCAGTGGGCTCCGGCTCTTTCACAGACCGGCGGCCTGGTTGACGTCAGACGAAAAGATGCGGCGACTTTGCGTACCTTGCCTTATGCTCGTCTCCCGCCGGCTCAGCTCATCACGCTTACTACCTTACGCCAGCACGCCTTATTCGATTTAATTAGACAGAAAAATACAAGTGTAAAGCGCGAAAGGGACAAACGAGAGAGCAGCTAGTGAAAACAATACCCTTACCCTGTTTATTAGTTCCATCCGTCTACTTCCCTTTGCCCATTATCTCGCCCACTATCTTACACCCCGATACTTGATCCATCCTTGCTCGCATGACACTGCCATCCCATTCTCCTTCCACAATCTGCTACCTATTTGAGATCTCAGTTTTGTTTCCAAAGGGGCGAAACACATCTTGACTTGCCATGTTCTGTGGACGACAGGAGCACGCACACACTCACACCCACTCGCCTCATCCATAATTATCATCCAACTCACCCACACACGCCACACGTCGCATAATTTCAGCCCATCGCACTGCTGCTGGCCCGTGGCCTTTACCTTTGAACCCTCGTCTCTATCTGCCATTCCGACCACCTCGCTCCAATTCAAACCGGTTACGGGCTCTTGAACCATCCCGTTCTGCCCACTCGCGACAACCGTACTCGGGTTCGCTTTGGAAACGACATCTGACAACTTGGTCCAAGCACGCCGAAATCCACGAGGGCATTGGACCAAATTGTGTGGCAGACTCTTGTCAGACATCGGAACCATACCAACTATTCTCAAGAGGCTTCAAGTGTTTACTGCTTCCTTCCTCTCCAACCAGAAAATCCTGGTTGTGGCTAAGTCAGCGCCTCCGTCGCCTTTCCGTACTCGGAGACTCAGCCGTGTCTCGTTTGTCTCGTGTAATGTGCGAGTCAGACAGATACGCAGTTAGCTACAGCTAATGCCGTTTTATTTATACAACACTGCATCCTCCCTTCTTCCTACGGCTCTTGGCTCACCATCACCGATTACCATTAGGCGTTCGAGAGGTCTATTTCCTGGGGCAAAATACTATTTGCTGTAGTCTAAGGAAACTATCCAGACCGAGAGCAATATGGCAGCTGACATCACCACGCCACTGGGTATCCCAGGCCTCACCGCCCCGATATTAGCAAACGCTACAAAGCCTAGCCTTGCCAACATCAGCGCTCCCTTGCTTGCCACCATAGTTCGCGATAGCTACCGTGCTACCTTCAAAGCTCGCGTCGCCGCCGGCGAAGCACGACCTTTTGTACTCCCTTATGGTATCTTTGCCAGCTTCATCGTCCCCATCCTCTACTTGACCTTTCCGCACACCAAACGGCCGTGGCTTTACAAGGCAAGATGGCTTGTGCTAGCCTTCATCGTCATCTTCAACATTGACATCTTGCTGGGCACCTCTAGCACCAACATGTCCATATCTTATGCTAGCGGCCTGTCAGCCTTCTGGGGAATACTGTCCAACTTAATTATGCTGGTGTTCACGGCACCACAATTCGACTATGAAAGAGTTGTTCGGAGGAGGAAGGGTGTCACCACCCCAAACAGATCCAAGTCGTCTGCGGCTGGCGCAGCTCCAACAAACGGATCCGGACTCAGGAAGCGAGCTAGTAGCAAGAAGCGAAGAGCCGACCAAGTCACGGCCCCTGAAGTCAACCTCGAAGAGTACGAGTACTACTGGCAGACTTTCCCAGAGAATGGATGTTTTTCAGAGCGACTGGGTTGGGTTATCGACCTCTACACCAATTTCAGAGGAGTCGGTAAGAAAGCTCATTCCCCCATGCTAGAACGAGCTCTATATTAACGTAAATCAGGTTGGACTTGGGCTGTTTCGTCGGTTCCCAGTCCAGTTCCCCCGGAGAACCCTGGTACGGGTGAGCTCGTCAAGATGGATACCATTCCGTTGGAAACCTTCGTGGGGTGCCAGACCTACAAAGACGAGAAAGAGTTCTTGCGACGGAAGGTCATCCCCATCGCAATCTCCTATATGATCCTCGACATCGCCAAGGTTACCATCATGGAGGACCCATACTTCTTCCTCGGATCCGATTCGTTACCCCTTCCTGCACATCTCGCGGCTCTCCCACCATGGGCCTTATCCATATGGAGGCATGCTTCCGTACTCGGTATTCTCTACGCCGCACTCGTTATGGTCTTCTCCGTTCATGATCTGTTTCAGTACTATGTCCTCAGCAGAGTCTTCCCCATGCGGGGTGAGCTGTGGCAGTACTCCACGGTCTTTGGTTCCTTTACACAGATCTTGGACAGAGGCTTAGCCGGGTTCTGGGGAGCTTGGTGGCACCAGACCTTCCGACATGCTTTCTCTGCTCCAGTCAGTTGGGCTGTAAAACGTGGCTATCTCGAAAAAGGAGCGCGTAGCACAAAGGCAATTGGGATGTCTACCGCCTTCCTTCTTTCCGGCCTGCTTCACGGTTCCGGAAGCATCAGCGCGATCCCCGAGACCAAGTGGTGGAAACCAGCGCTTTTCTTCTGGTTGTCGGGGCTCGGCGTCCTCACTCAGCAAACGTTCTGTACAGCCATGAAGGCCCAGATTACAAAGATGCCTCGCACGCTCAGGAGAGCTGGGAACCTCTTATTCGTGCTCATGTGGCTGCACGTCACCGTCCAGCCGTTGGCCGACGACTTTTCGCAAACTGGCCTCTGGCTCATGGAGCCCGTCCCCGTTTCGGTCGTGCGGGCCCTCGGCTTCGGTCGCGGGGAGACGTCGTGGTGGAAGCCTGATATGGAAGCGATTGGACATTGGCATGTTGGACAGCATTGGTGGGATTCTGGGTTCAGCTACTAGAGAATCGGGCGCAAGCCCTCACCTCGTGTTATGATACAAAGAAGTAATATGGTGGCTTTTTTATGTAAATAAACTTTAGGGCAGATAATCCTTTTCTTTCGCCTGCTGTGTCCCCTCTGAGTCGAGACCCCCATTTACTTTGACGTGATCTGCGCCTCCGCCCTCGTGCTGTTCTGTGGGATCATTTCCGGCGCGGAGCTTCTCGAGCCCATTCTCCTCCTCGGGCGTAAGTCTTCGGGGGACAATACACTCCTAGTGGTCGTTCTCCTGTATCTGTGTTGGTGAGCCGAGTATGTTGATCGGTGTAATAGGTCAGGAACACACCAACTTGACTACAATGTCTCTGTGAGGAAAGATTTGATTCATGTATGCCACCACGACAGACTTCTCTAGACCACAGATGGGGGTTCTATACCCGTACTGTATCCCCGAGAGGAAAAAGCTGCGCACGGTGGTGTTCATTTCGTGTGTCTCGAGCGTCCTGTCTTCTTGCTCGGTCCTTGAGTGGGCTTGGTCTGATGGTGAGTAGTTCAGGCAGCTGATACCACCTGCTGGTCTCCCAGAGCTGGAGGTCGGGCGATTCCCGTCAGGGAAGGGAAGAGCTGTGATATTTGATATCCATAAACGGTAGGTAGGCAAGCCTCAGCGGCTCGCACCTTCCCGCACATGACAACGAGGAAAGGGCGAAGGGTAGGTATATGGCCTCCGTCAAACCCATTCCCGTCACCAGCCAGCAGGCGCTCGTCTAGGTCGACGGGTCAGGTCGAACTGGCTGGGTGGTGGAGTGGTTAATGGTCAACGTCAATTATCTACGCCAACCAGCCTACTCGACGACAGGCTAAGCGCATACGAGTACCCCGAGTTCGAATCCCAGCATGAGCACCAAGAGATGTAGCCACACCGGTGGTGAACTCTTTTTTGAATGCTTTATAAATTGTCATTGCGTAGTTGGGCGAGTTTTTTGCGGGCTGATATACATACTCCTTACCTCGTATTGGGTGACTGCGACTACCATCTAGAGGTTCACTTTGCCACCGAGAGAAGGGACACGTGAGCCGACCAGTGGTGTTTTTTGTTTGGAAAGAGCGGTTCAAAGTTATCGCGAGCTTGTCATCGTTGCTTGTCATTTTGAAATACTCGCACCATACGAAGCCTACCCATCGCGGTAAGACCACGTCACTAGAGCGAGACCGAGAATTATGATGTGTACTAGTATGCTTGATTACTGCATACTACTGAAGCCTGATAACCCAGCTTTAACAACCCTATGAGCCTTCCTAGGCAAAACAATGAGAAAGAAAGGGGGTATCTGAGCCGAAAGGAGAAAAGCCATCCCAAAGCCTAGTCTGTCCTAAACCTCTGCCCTTTTCAACGCCAGTCTGGCCAACTGCATTAGGAGAAAATGAGGGACATCTCGCAAAACCCAAAGTCAGTTCCAAACCAATCCAGACCCAATCTTCAGCGTACTGATGCCGAAGAATCCAACTCCGTGACGGGGAGAGAAAGAACCACCAGTTGTCAATAAGGAGAAGACGTGAAGCCAAGAGAAAAGAAAACCCAATGCCCAAAACTCAACCTCAAAGACGCGGAAAACCTAAAGCCGATACCAGAACCTAAGCCAGCGATGTAAAAGTTGCTATTCGAAAGAAATGCCGCCTTTTGATGTCGTAGTACTAGTAAAGAGCAAGAAGAGTCCTCGATGCCATGTGATATAGGTCGTGGACATATTAGTTGCCGTGGCCGCCAGCCGACATGAACATCAGAGTGTTGGCACCCTCGACGTCCTCGCCGTTGATGGGGTAGGTAAGGCCAGGCTGAAAGGCAGGCTGAACGACCTGTTCGAAAATCGTATTAGCAAAGTCATTCCAAACCTTTGTAGAAATAAGCTATGACTTACATCGATCTGCGTGACGCTAGAAAGATCCGCAGTAACGGCCTGAATAGCCTGATCAGTCCCGTCGATCCAGTTTCTCGTCAGAGGGCATCTTCCCAGCTTCATGTTGGACATGATGGCCACGGCGTAGCCGCGCAAGACTGCAATCGTAGGCAGCTCGCCGTTGTTGCGCTTCATCTGCGTCAAGACAATGTTGGTAACCCAGGCACTGTGGACGATCTCTCGAAGTACAACGTCACACTGCTGGCGCTGAGTGAGACCGGCGGCGCGGATGTGAAGCTTGAGCTTGGCCTGAATCGCATCGAGGAGATCGCCTAGGTCGGCGGTGACGAGGCGGCGGCTGGCGTTGCGCTCTTCAAGATTGGTGTTCGGGGCGATGGGCTGAAGCGGTACGGTCTGGAAAGACTGAACCTGGCCGGAAGACTGGCCCTGGTTGGAAGACTGAGCATGGGTAGACTGAGCCTGGTTGAAGGACTGAGCCTGGCCAGAAGTCTGAGACTGGGAAGTCTGCGAAACCTGAGCGACTTCAGGCGCCTTGCCCTTCTGAGAGCTCTTGGCCTTCTGAGGAGTCGCGGCCTTCTTGGAAACACCAACGGTGCCAGCGGACATGGAGCTCATGCTGGCAGTGAGAGAGTCCATCTTGCTAGTGTTCTGACGCTTCGCAGCCGGGGCCTTCTCGGCAGCAGCCGCCGCACGCTTGTTCTCGGCACCAGGGTGAAGCTGAGGCAGGCCGAGGTGACGGGGACCTTCGCCGTACTGAGGGGCATGGAGGTACGCGCCTCCGCCCTGGACTTGACCCTGCTGGGCGTATCCATGATCCTGAAAATGATACGTGAGTAAAAGAATTGTAGTGAAGTAGAGGTGCAATTCTTACCTGGGCCGGGATGGCCTGCTCGGCGAGCTTTCCCTTGGCCTCGGGAATCTCAGAAATCTTCATCTCCTCGACCTCGGGCTCCTCCTTCTTGACGTTGCCGCTGCCGCTGCCGCTGCGCATCTTCTCGTAGGTGTTGATGGCAGCGGCGCGGACGGGACGGGACTGCGCCAGTCCGACAGGAGCAGCCCTGCCCGCATCGGTGGTAGCGACAGGGGCGGACCCCTTGCCGCCTGCCTCCGCGGGCGGGACATACTCCTTGTCGGAGGGCGCGCTGGAATCCATCTCGTCGAAGTCGGAGTCGGAGTCGGAATTGTAGTACGACTTCTTTCCCTTCTTCTGCTTCTTCTTGCCCGCCTTATTCTTCTTCGAATGCTTGGGCTTCTTGGAAGGGCGAGTGGTGGCGGAGGAGGGGTTCTTTGCCTTTGTGGGCGTAGAGAGAGCCAGGGACGAATTCTGGGTGGTGGTGAGGGTGGTCTGTAGAAGAGGGAAGGAAGGGGAGAAATCAGCTTCTGGGTGAAAAAGACCGATGTGGGTGGAAATGGCGTACCTGGGTCATCTTCTTCGCAGAACTCTTGGGAGCAGAGGACGAGCCCTTGGTGGGCGAGGCATCAGGCGTGTTGGCCTGACCGCCCGGGACGGCGATGGCCACGGATGGCTGACCAGGAGCGCGCGATCCGGCAGCGCGCTGGGTCAAGAGTGCGTAGCGGTCCACCCAGTCGAAGTCGCCAACCTCATGAGCAACGTGAGAGCCGCGGTTCGAGATCTCGCCCTTGGCAACGCAGTCTCGGCAGACGACGAAGCCGCATTCTCTGCACAACTGGTGAACGGTCAGGGCGGCGGGCATCTTCTTGCAACAGTCGCAGGTATTCTCGCTTAGATCAGTCTTTTTCCAGTTGTCGTGACCACGGTCTCGGCCACCCGAAGACGCGGTGTGAGTCTTGAACTGGTCCATGACGATGATTCTGATGAAGTTCGAAGTGATGATCGTGATGGATAAGGGGTAAGTAAGCTCGTTGAGTTGCTGGTGTAGCGAATACTGATGGCTGAGATGCGAAAGAAAGCTGACAGTGTCGAGGAAAGAAACGAAAACTCGGGTTGTCGAGGGGAGAAAGAGAATCAAAACAAGAGAAGGCAGAGAGAAGAGGAAACAAAAAGTCCAGAGCTCTCGCCCTCCATGGAAATCTTCAATATCAAAAGAGCGGGTACAATAACCTGTGAATTGCCGCCTCATGAAGAAGCCCTAACCATAACGAGAGCGGGAGCAGTCGAGAAGCAGTGAGCCTCGCGTCCTCGAGAGAAATCTTCACCAGCAAGGGGACGGGTAAGACGGGGTCATTGCCTGCCCCAGGAAGAAGCACGCATCGCAAGAAGGGCAAATCCAGGAAGATATGGAACTCTTGCTCTTCACGGAGACTCTTGATGAGGGAAGACTGGTTGAGAGAAAGGGGTAAAACTTCTACCAGCAATGCCTACGATCCATACTAGCAGAAGGGCAGATGTGAAAGAAGGGAACAGCTATCGATTCACAAGCTCTCGACATCAACATGATGGGCATATCAAAAGGGGTGAGCTTACAGACGATTAAACAAAGACAAGGAGAGCAAGAAGAATTCAGTGCTGTGATAAAGACTTTGAATTCCTATCAAGCAGATGACATACTGCAAAGGAGCTTACGCATTACTTATGATGACTTAAAACATCAAAGAGGCTGGGTGGTATGCACGCGAGGGCCTCTCGCAAATTTGCGAAGCAAAAGTTGCTATCCATAAATAAGGAACCTGGATATAAAGCACCTGATATACCTCGCATTCATCTAGGGCTGATGAGCTCTCATCTGATGTGTAGTGCCAGTGACAACTATGCCAGATCAATCGTAGAGGATGAGAATGATACTTAGTTGCGTTAGATTGAGTCCACAAAATCCCAGTGCGATTCGAAGGCTTTGATTGAGGGAGATCATCCATATTGTGATCGTAAGATTAATACGATGGCTAAGAAGGATCCGAGCCAAGGTGGCTGTGGCGTCACTGGAGATGGATGGTACTCCCAGTACGTCTAAGACTCAGTTCGAGACGCGTACGGCTACCTGAGACGACCCCTGGGTATAAGATCTGATTATCATCGCTGAAAGCTTGAAGCTTCCCATCATCTAGTGTGGGCTTGATCAAAGACCAATCATCTCGCTATGCGACAATAAGATCAAATGAGATGATTCTTGTTCTTGAATAGGCGTTGCGGCTGAAGATGAGAAGTACGGTCTTGTACGAACAGCGTATGACCATAACTTTTGTCCTCTCAATGAGGTACTAATATGAGGCCCCTTCTTCCAGGTGGAAAAAAAAAGACGATGAAGAAAGAAGCAACTTTTTGGCGTAGAATACAACCGCCAAGTTCAATGATGAGAGAAGTTCTTATTGATGGTCATGGTACACAGATAGGAAGGCTAATGACATACTGTAGGTACTGAAAGCAGGACATTGATCGATTAGAGTGGCCAGGTACCGCCTAGTCTGTGCTTTGAATACCGCAAGAGTTGGCTGTATTGCCAGACACGATTATCATCGAAGAAGACAAGAGAGGATGGACGACTTATGAACTGGGTGAGGCCCGGCACCGCGGATGAAGATGAACATAAGACCATTCCTAGATCCCTTACATCCATAATGAGTCTTCAGGGCGGCTAGGCACAGATACCGCTTCACCTAGGAAAACTTGTATAATTTTTCAATGTAGTCATCGCCTTATGCGATAAAAGAGAGCGAGTTCCACTGGGGAAGATGATTAAGTAAACTTGTGAAACTACTTGTTAGTTGCGAGCATATCATTAATAACGAAACCATGATTAGGAGATTCGCTGCGAAGTAACTGTGCGATTTGGATCCTGCGCCGCGACGCTTGTCCAGAACAGGCTTGACCACAACGGCCTCGAAGAACACCTGGAACCAGGGCGGGGGTTTGATAAGAAATAGGACCGTTGGAAGGGATAGTGTTTCATGCGTAGGGGATATAGTTGAAGTCGGATATTGAGCAGGCGTGCTTCATCGGCCTGTTCGTCGAGAAAGGCAGAAAATGAGGGGTTGTAGGAGACAGTTGCTTGCTAATACAAGCCCATCGAAGGTTATTATGTGATTTCAATAGCACACAAATTGAACATTGCGCAATTGCAGGTCTGGCAACAACATAGGTTCGTATTGCGTTTATGTCACAAGTGTGCGATTGGAATGCATGTATTTGTATGTGATACCTTAGATTGCCCGAAAAGTCAGCATATCCATCAGCATTAAGAAACAAATCGCTTGCCCCCGCGGGGTCAAAGCTTTGCGGCGGCGCGGGGCACAGCGGGCGGGAGAGGGACATATCCGATGATGGACAGGTGCTGCTGGTGGATAGCCTGGAGTTCGATGGTAGTGTGTCCCGCCCGCCGTGCCCCCGATCGTTGCCAGGACGACTTTTGCACTCGACTTTTTGCGCAACGAAAGAGATTGGCTGGGCGCATAGGGTGGACGGCCAGTTACCGTAGTGACTGACACTTGACGGATAGGACGATGGAGGGTCCTCCTCGGGAGAGGACGGTAGACAAACGGGTAGGGTCCACAAGAGGGCAGAAATTGCGCATATGGACGGGACGAACGGGGTGGGAGAGGGGATCGGAGGCAAGTCATGACAAATGCCCACCTCTCTCTCTCTCTCTCTCTCTGCAAGTCTCCAGTCCCATAGATGACTCCGCAGGACGTCGGGGTCCAGAAGCATTTCCTCGAAACAGGATGGTGGACTCTTTCTTCTCACGAATCGAACGTGGACCACGTTTCGGAGTACGGATGCGGATACATACACGACACTACATTTCTGTCGGTGGGAAGTTCAAGGAAAAAGTCGACGAGTGACGTTGGAAAAGGCGGGTACGTAGCCAGCAGGGACCCGCCTTTTGGGAACCGGCGCACTGTGTCGAGTGAAACGGCTTGAGAACATTCGGCCAATGGCGTGAGCCATACTTCACCGAGAGCTCGTTGATTCGCCAATGGGTCCTGCAAGCAATTAAACGCGACCCCGCTAATGGAGACGTGTCAGACGCGTCAAACGCGTGCGGCTCGCGACGACGCGCCGACCGCATCGCAAAGTTTCGCAGCGGGCACCGCCCACCTTCTCTCGACGAGGACGTTTTTTTTTCACTTTCTTTACTCAACGTCGTTTTGTGGCGCAATGCCCTACTGATTGGGCGGCAATCGCGGGATTTCCACATCTTTTCTCGGTGTAGTCATTTCTTCACCGCTCACCTGCTCTTCCTGCAAGTGCTGAAGCCGGCTGATGCTAGGCTCGACGGTCCGGTCAATCTTTGACAATTCTGGGTCTGGCGTTGCCTGTCTACTTGGGCCAAGGAAAGCCATCGAGAGGTTTTTTCCGCTGGGGTTTTGCAATTTCGCTTTTCGACAGTCGTTGAGAGCGAGGGGGAGAGGAAACTGAGAGAGTGCCCTTGTCGCAATCGCGAAAGTTGGAAGAGGCGGGGCATGATGGAGCGGATTTACCCACGTTTCTGATGCAAGCCATTAAAGACAGCCCCTCTTTGTGTGTCCAGGGCGCCTGGCATGCGGAGCACGACGGGATGTCGAACCCCTCGAGGCGGTCCGCCGCTCTTCGTCACAACTTGAGGTTGAAAGCCACCACCACTAAGAATACCACCACCACACCGCCATCTCACGCGCTCATGAACAACCCCGTGGCTACTCCGAGGGTGGTCCCGCATCACAGAGAAGGGGGGTCATGAGGTCGTTGAACGATAACATGAGAGGCGGGCGTTTCGGGAGCAATGAACCGGCTTCCATGGCCAGGAGCACCCTCGAGTCATGCGTCATCTCGTCCACAACTTCCAAAGGATGGTTCAGGCATAGTATGTGTGACTGAGTATTTGGTCGTATAGCACGGTAAGTACGGAGTACTCTGTACAGAGTACCATGCGACGCAGAACAAGCTTCAGGAGGAGTCCGGTAGGCCTCTCAAGATTTGATTACGGCCTTCGAGGCCGAGAGAAGGTGGTATCCGGAACCAGAGAGATATGATGTAGTAGGGGCCCGATCGGAACATGTCGCCAGAACCGTCCGGTATGGCCCCTAGGGATCGCTCGAATCAAGGCCTAGAGACTATGACGGCAGCTGGCCGAAGCGCAGACGGAACGTGCTGCAGCACCAAGCCCAGATCCCTTTGTGCAATCCCAGCAGTCTCTCGATGGAAGTGGTACATAGTGAATGGTGAGTGGCGCAGCATTGGGAGCACTTTTTCTCTCCACAGACTGGCTGGGGGAGCACGAGCGTGAAGACCATATGTAACCGCCAATGGTCATCATCTATAGTCCTTTGCTTTCGGCTCATCTAGCAGATGAAACTTTGAAGCAATCGCAGCAACTGTGGATAAACGTGAGTGCATAGAGAGACTGAAGTGCTGTAGACAATCTTGTAGGGCCGAACTGACTGCAAGTCTGTCGTTGGAAACAATAGACGCCTCGAAAGTCGAAGAGTGTGGAAGCCCTGACTCGAGCTAGGCTCAACAGAGAGTGCTACGTTGGTTGGCCGTCCGTGTGTCCCATTGTGTGGGAGTTTGACAGAAGGGAGGGCGCGAGCCGCGGCTCCTTAGCGATAAAGTCTGAGCGAGCGCAGTAAGCCAAAAGGGGAAGTGTAGATTTTCTCTACATTCTTACGCTTTCCAATAGAACGGGGATACCAAGCTGAGGTGGATGTATGTCATGAGCCTCGTGAGGCCAGGTAGAAGGCATGTCCTGTGGGAGAGTATGTCTCGCATGTCTTGCAGCTCTCTTCTCGGCCGCAGAAGCCCAGGGAGATGGATGCTGTCCGATCGTTCATGGGCTCAAAGGTTATTGATTGGGCAAAGGGGGAGATGGGGACGAGATGAGGCAGAGACAGTAAAGATGAATGGTCTTGTGCCTTAGTCTTGCGACCACCTTGCATGAACAGGAGGAGAGACAGAAGAGACGGAGAAAGGGTAAGGTTGACGAGACAAATAGGAAGAAGCAAGGAGCAACAAAAGAGCCGGCAGTATTGCCTTTGATCGGAGGCGGGTGTGAGTGTGACAAGAGATCAGAGTCACAGGAAAAACGAAAAGGGCCAAGAAGGGGGAGGGGGATCGATGGTGAGTTTCTCTGCTATTGCAAGTTGACCCTTGCAGATGAGCGAGGGGCGAGGGATGAGGGTGTAGGGTGCAGACCCGAAGGTGAGAGGGAAGCTACTGCAGGTCGGTGAGGGACAGGAGAGAGAGGTGTGGGAGGGAGGGTGATGGTGGAAAGGGAAGAAGCAACGCCGCCGTCCCAGACTCGAGGTACCGCCCGAGGCGGTTGAGACACAAAATGGGCCCTACGAGACAATTTTCCATGGGAGAAGTCGCGATGGCGTACCCATTCGCGTGGCCTGTCCAGCCATTCGTTCATGAAGGCTACCTCGACCGTACCACGAGTCCTGATGGTGCGTACGTAGCAAGTCATATTGGACTGCAGACTGTTTCGGGTGCTTCCATCATCACCATGGCCATCACCATCACCATCACTCGCATGCCTCGTGTCTTTTAGGGCTTTGACGGATGTAATGTACAGACACCATGGATTGCTTACCTCATGTCAGAACCTGAGGCAGGTAAGGTAAGGTAGCCAAGGCATTGTATGACATACCCAGGTACGGAGTACATTGACTTTGGACAGAGGCTTGAGAGGAAAGAAAGAACGACGTAACGGAAGGGTCGGTCTGAATGAAAGCTCAGACCCTCTTGCCTCCCACTTCCATTAAAATCCCTGGCAAAAGCAATGGATACGTACCGCGACGTTCCTCGAGTGCTTCAGTCTCCAGACAGTGAAAGAGCTCGCATGGGGACACGGCCCAAAGTACTTGCAGCAGCATGCAGCTTGCGCGCCCACCCCCAGGGCCCCAGAGCCCCAGTCAGTGGACGGACCCTTGTCAGATGCTCCACTCTTGACTCCAGCGCACTAACAAAGCCCATTTTCGCCCTTGCCAGACACAAGGTACCAAGTCCCCCCCCCCCCCCCCCCCCCCCCCCCCCCCCCCTCCCCCCCCCCCCCCCCCCCCCCCCCCCCCCCCCCCCCCCCCCCCCCCCCCCCCCCCCCCCCCCCCCCCCCCCCCCCCCCCCCCCTCTCCCCACCCCCCCCCCCCCCCCCCCCCCCCCCCCATGAGAGCCTTTCAGTCCTTCGCCATCCCATCTGCCACCTGCCACTCTGCCGCCATCCAGGTCCCAGCCAACCTACCTTTACCTACCTACCTAACTACCTTACTTACACTTACTTCCCTTCCCTCCCGTCTCCCGCCCGAACTTCCTCACCGACACACCACAACACTCACACACATTATTGCTTCACCCGCATTCCTCCCTCTCATTGCAGAAAACAAGACGACCCTGTGATTCAATATTGAAACACTTATCACTCTAATATCCTCGCCCTTAAGACCCCTTCGTCCGCCCCCTACAGTCCACCGGCGCATTCCAAGCCTCCTCGCTTTCTATCCCGTCGCATACTCGCGCACAGTCGCAAAAGTCTTTCCGTCGCATACCAAACCACCTTGCCAGCTCGTCATCGCATCGCGCGACACTCGACAGCGATAGCCCACGACTGCATACCGATCAAATCCCTCAAGATGCTTATGCCATCCGCCTTTTCATGCGACACGTCGCAGCCGCCTCTTACCCGACTCCAGGCGTCTCTCTTCGCATCGCCTCCCTCGAGCCCTCCTACCCTGTCAACTAGTAGTGGCTTCGGTCACATCTTGGACAGCTGCCGCTCTCTCCAAGCCCTTCTCTCATCGCCTCAGCATCAGAACATTCCCAGTGCCGCTCTCTCATACGACGCGCCGCAACAATACCTTCCCACGCCGTCTCAACTTCCCACGCCGCCTCTCGCCCACGCGCCTGCTCCCCACAAACTGCGCCTGCGCTCGCGCGCAAAGCAGGATGGCGCCACTAACAGCGATCACCTTCCGCGCAAGCGCATCGCAAAGCGCGCGCCGCCACGAGGTCTGAACAAGCGCCGGCGCGCCGCCGATGAGGAGACGGGTCGTGAAGATGGTCTTCTTACGGACGAGGACGTCGAGAGCGATCTCGACATCTCATCTCAGCGTCAATCTTTCGAAACTACCAACGACAACCCTATTCCATCCAACCCTTCTACACCCAAACGCGCGCGCATCGCACCAGAGGTGATCCCTCTGGGCCTTGAGCGCTCCGACTATCACACACTGCACCTCCTCAACGGCGACGGTGTGAACATGAACCACAGCAGCATGGAAGCGGCAGGCGCACAAGACCCAACCGTGGAGGTCGAGGCCGATGGAGAGCGGTGGAGTGCCGAGGATGATAGGATACTCGTCGAGCTTGTGCTGGAGAAGCTGAAGCTCTCCAAGACGGAGTGGCAAGATTGCGCGCGCAGTTTGGGCAAGGACCGGAACTGCCTATCCCGGCGATGGAAGAGTCTCATGGTCCAGGGTGACGTCGGCCTCAAGGGACCTCGGAGGAGTAGCCGCAGGGCCAACCTTCACGGTACCTGGCGGTGATTTACCCTGACCTTGGCGTCATTGTCGACAGTCTGGGAATTTACCATTTTATTTGTCTTGGGGTTCGAATGTGGCGTTTTTACAAGTACCAAACGGTCAGAGCCCGGAAACGGCTTTTGTGGAACATTTTAGGAGCGGTTGTTCAGCGCCTCATCTCGCGCTTAGTTGATCTCGAGCTTGGAACTAGCTTTTGAGTTGGGACATGTTGGTTTCTTTGTTTTCTCTTCTCACGCGTGCTGCGTCACCCGAGAGCAAGCATACCTTATCTACCAGAATAGGTCATTGGAATCTCATTGCGCGAGATATCCTGTCACCTTATGTGCCTTATTACAGAGAGGCCAAAATACCAAAAACTCGGATACACTCAAAACCTCTTAGGTGCTTTGCATTCTTGTGACTTGGATCTGCTCCGATTGAGATTGACGCCTCTGTTCCATGGTCGGGAATGAGCTCGCCATACGGAGTATCTCTGATTGATATCATCGACACAATACTGCGGTATGATACATGCAGCCGTGACGTTTAGAGACCGCATGCGTATGTCTGTCACGTACGTGGACGTGTTCAACATTACCAACCTTACGACTCACTACACTAGCTACCCGTCTGTCTTGTCGCAACTGGAACTGTCAAAGGAGCCGTCACGTCAAGCCCCCCGCGCGCCGTTGACTTGTAGCCGCTCAGACGTCGCCCAGCCTTGTCAGCTTTCTCTGTGCCATGCTATCCGTAGCTAAATTGTCACTAGAGACTCTCTGTCCACGCGACAAGTCCGGTAGATTGATCGCCAGTCGCGCGCAATGCGCTGTTGCGCAGCTTGCTTCCTGTATTTTTCCTCCCCCGGTTCCCCCGCCCCCCCATCCGCCCCAGCCTCGCCGTCCCTTTTCTGGACCATTACGGACTACTATCGCAAGTAAGGATGGGGGATACCAGATTGCGATAGTTGTTTTTGGTAGCGCGGGTGGATCTTCCCGGCCCAGTGTCGTGATCGTTGGTCCAAGGTAAGGTAAGGCACGGAGGAATGGTGGCAGGAGGGTGGCTGGTCTTGCGTGTTGGGCCTAGTGCTTTTCCCCCGCCATTCCCATGTTGCAGCGCCTGATACGGCGCCCGTCATCTTTCTCTCTCTCTCTCACTTGGTTCTCGCTTCTCCAGGACAGAAACGTTACCTCGATCATCACTCGCGTACAATACAAACAGCCCAATACAAATCATACCGGCAAACTTTTCTCGCTCTCCCCTACTGAGACAAGAAAATCGAGCGCTCTACCTCCTGGACAAACAGCAATTAACAGCGTGGAAGCAGTACTCTGTCAGGTGGCGATCGCAGGACGGGACGCAAGGGGTGGCTGGCGTTATCGATAGTACGCCGCATCCCTCCCGCCGTACCTGAATATCTCGCCCTGTCCGGGGGTGCGGCCTGTACTCGGTAGGGCCAGGCCAAACCAACCACCGCAGTTCCCAACCTTTTGAAACGAGCCCAGATGAACTCTTTTCGCCCAGGGCAAGGGGAAACGAATGGGGTGTGGGACGGGAATCGGGGCGGGAAGGATAGGGACTGGATAGTGCGAACCCTTTTTCCCTTGCCCATCCGCGCCAGCTGAACCTATCGGCTTGACGATGTGCCTGAATCGGCCGTGGGGTCGGGTCCCCCCTCCCCCTCCCAAGGGCCTGGACGGCTGGCCTGGGGGGGCAGGCAGGTACCCTGTCCTGTCTGTTCAATTCTCTTCGGCGGGCTATTACCTGAGCTCAGCTGTATGGACGGACTTGAATGGAGGCTGAGTTACTCGAGTAGCAAGTATGGTCAAAGAGTGACATCGGGATATTGGGCGAGTGAATGAGAGAATGAGCGAGCAATTCACTGAATGAAAGTCCGATTGATGAAGCGTAGAAAGCAGTACTCCGGACACGGATAGCACCTGTGAAGCGTGTAAGTCGAATTCGACCATCGACGCAACTCACGACTTCTCTCGATGTCACAAAACCTCGGCAATCCCGTAAGATACGCGAAAAGCACGCGTCATGATAACCAAAGATAACACACTCTCCATCATTGTCTCGAGTCTTCAAATCGCACAAACAGTTTTCTTCTTTCTCGGTTGCATCCCATCATATCTCATCTCACACCCCTTCAGGCACGATCTAGCTTAACCTTGGATCTTCTGCCCACTCACCCAGCAAGCCCTACTCTATCTACCATAGTATGACTACGCAAAAGAAGAAGAAGAAGAAAAAACCCTCAAGATGCAGAGGGTAGGAGCATATCACAGCACAGCATCGAAATGTGAAATGCAAGCAAGGCGAGCAGGATTTTGTTCCAACAGATTTAGGCATAAGCATCACGCATGCATGTCTCGCGAATCTGGGGTCAGGTAACGTAAATCATCACCGCGTCCTGGGAAACACCAATCAACCAAAGAAAAACCACAACATCAAGAAAAAAAGAAACGACTTTTTCGGCGACGAGGCCGACGCCGCCGCCGCATAAGCACGAATCCCACCCCCCCTTCCCCCCACCACCTTATAGAGAAGCATGATTTCGATCGATACTGTGCAAGATACCTCAATGTCTCGCCGGCCATCGCGCCGTCTCCGATCCAAGGGATGACTGAAACCCCCCCCCCCCCCCCCCCCCCCCCCCCCCCCCCTCCCCCCCCCCCCCCCCCCACTACCCCACACCCGTCGACAACAGCAAACACAACCCACACCTCGCTCTATCTGCCGAGGGTTCATTGTTCGTGGGAGCGAATATCCTTCTTCCCCCCCCCCCTCCACACTCCCCATCTCTTCGCCTACACGCTACCGCTAATTCGCTTCAAGTCAGGAACCAACAGGAACCAACAGTACCTACCTTTTTACGGGAGTGAGTTTTGTGTGCCTGGCATATACATCTTTCCTCCCTGCGTCTCATCGATCAGCTACTCCCCCTTCCCGACCCATCGTCGCGGTTTGCCCTGGTCTATACTGCCTTAGCCGGGTATCATCTTTCGACCGAGGCTCTCCAAGGGGGCAAGGGGGG